AAACGAAGGCTGACACTCGGCTGAGTCGAATAGTTGAACTTTACAAGATAAGGATTTTCGGGTTGTCACATGAGTTACTCATTCCATGGTTTTTAGTACATATGACATTCGATGATGTGATTTTTAGTAATATTAAAACAAAAAATTTTGGGTCGTATTTTGGGATGTTTCAAAGGAAATGGAATCTATTTCATATTAACCAATGTTTTCATATGATGTCAGTTAATATTTACTAATGTTGTTGTATGACAAACTGTTTTGTTAACTGTTGATTGATTTGCTCCTGTGATTTTGTATGTTTCTATATTGTAAAGTTCAAATTCATTTGGTCATGTGGTTTGTACTGTTGTTTGTACAGTCAAAGTATGTTAAGATATTTATCTTACAACCACAAACAAACATTCATGTTATGTCAAAGTACCTTACTATATTTGTTTTACAATCACAAACAAACATTCATGTTATGTCAAAGTATGTTGCTATATTTTTCTTACAGCGAGAAACAAACATTCATTCATTCATATTATGCAAAACATACATAGCTTATTGTAATATGGGAAAATGTCATTACTTGGTGTTTTAAGGACACACTAACAAACTTAACAAGACCATAACAAACATGAAAGAAAGATATCTAACCCTAACAAACATACTCCATAGATAAAAAAACTTTTAATCCAAGTCCATTGGTTTGGATGAGGTATCTCCTTCACCATTTTCCTTTTTGCCAACTTTTTCTTTATTATCCTCTCTGACTTTTTCCTTAACTTGACTGTACCTTGTTTTTAACCTTTTTTCTTATTCACAACACTTCCACCTCCACCTTTACATTTTCCCTTTTTGACACCGCTTCCACTTCCACCTTCACCTTCACCCTTTCCCTTTTTTTCACAACATTTCCCCTTTTAGCTTGACCCTTCCCTTTCTTTAATGCACTTCTACCTTCACCTTCAGCCTTCCTCTTTTTTACCTAAACATTTTGGGGCCTTGACACTACATCACAGGTTGACTTGTTGTGCCATGACTTTTTACAAACACCATATACAATCCTTTTTCCTGACTTCGATACTCTGTGTGATCCACTAACCTCTATATTGTCTCTATTCCTCTTTATAGTGGGTCTCCCTGCCATCTTCCTTTTCAGTGATGGAAATGGTTCTATGTAGTCTATTAGGGGACCACATTGCACTCCCATTCATACTTCCTATTGAATACTTGTATGTGTTCATATATATCGCAACACGATATAAAGGATCAAAAAATGCCTCAACATTTCTATTTACATAAGAAATGGTTGCCACTGAATAAACACAACCATACCCATTCAACTTTCATACCCTATAAGTACATGTTTTCTTTTCCAAATCAACACCATATGACTCTCCTAAGTTTCTTGTCTCAAAAGTATTCAATCCACTAGGCAACACTTGCTAGTACCTACAAATGAACATATTTACAATGAGCTACTATGGTAGAAAAAGTGTGACAAATAAGAACAAACCATTATTGGATTTTCAATTCATTTATGGAAAGCCTTATGTTTGGACATACATTAAAACGTCCCCATCCACTACCTTTCAATCTCAAACTACACATCATCTGCATCACATATAGTCTAATATCCTCCAACATAGTAATAATTGGCTTATTCTTAGCATCCAAGATAACATTGTTAAACCTTTCAGACAACCCATTCATGTTTGAAAGAATGCTCTAGACCATGACTTTGGGTTCCTTCCCATAGGATGCACATATGTAGCAAGACTAATCATTTGAATCTTGTAACATTCATTATCCAGGTTATTCACATTTTTGACCCTAAGTGTGAAATTCAATTGCAAAAATGGTCCCATGGCTCCATAAGTATTAAACGCGTCGCTTGTAGGTACGTTGGGCGTATGTGGAAAAAGACCATACCCTAATTTTTAGGGTTTAAGAACTATTTAAGCCTCATTATCTCCTCAATACCTCTACCATCATCAGCCTTCACATTTCGTCCCTAGCAAATCCTAATCCTTTCGTGAACCTTTTTGAGCTTGTAAGTGAGTATTTTGGTGTCATTGAAGCAATGAGAAGATTAAAGAACCACCTTGGAAGCTCAAGACCACTTAGATCCAGAAGCATCTCACCGTCAAGCATCATTTGGAGGTATAAAGTTTGAATATTGATCAGCTAGTTACTCAGATCTTGCTAGTTTAGAGTTTGTGTACATTTTTGGTCCCATAGTTTGATATAGTGGAGTATGAGCTACTCTAGGTCCATTTCATGTGGTTTTCTACAGTTTTGAGCTCATAGATTCATAAAAATGAGAACTTTGTCATTCTCTTTAAACCATGCAATAGTTTTGGGGTTTTGGATAACTTTTCGGCCAAGGGTTTGAGTTTTTACCCCCTTGAATGCATGAAAATGGATAAAGTCAGAGATTTTATCCATTAAGACGTCCCTTTTTACATGGATCTGAAGTTTGGTGCCTTGGCTTAATGAAATAAGAGCTTAATGGAAAAGTTTGGGTTCAACTCTGGTGCGTTGGGCTTACCTGGAAGTACGCTGCGTGTACCAGGGTTCGAGCCCGTAATCTTATGATGCACCCTTTACGCTGGACATACGCAACCCAGAAAGGATCTTTGACCTTTTGAATTTGACATTGACCAGGATTTTCACCAAGTTTGACCTAGGGGTATTGTGGGTATTTTGAGAAGTAGTTTGAGACTAGGTCATTGTATGTTGCATATGTGGCCTGTAGAGTCAGCAGTGGAGTTGTAATCTGTTCAGTTATATCTGTAGACTATGAGGTGAGTTTTCCTCACTGTACTTGTGGGTCGAAGGCACCAAGGTCGGCCCACTAGATTTTGTATCCTGGTATACTAGATTGATGATATTCTTAGTATGTGTTAGACTGGTAGATATGTATGATTACATGTGTTGCTGGTTATTGACTGTTATTATATATGTCTACATGTTATGTTATGTTATGTTATGTTATGTTATGTTATGTTATGTTATGTTATGTTATGTTATGTTAT